AGGATAGTAGTAATATAAAACTAAGTATAAGAAGGTCGAGGATAGTATTAAGAAGCTTAGCCTCGCCGAATAGTAAGAAATCGCTAAGCTAATAAGTACTAAAGCCTTATTATTATCTAAGAAGGCTAGCTAGATAGCTTAGCTAGCTATTACCGATAGAGATAATAGCTTCGATAATCTACTAACCGAATCTATAAGCTTCTTTACCCTTAATATTACCCTAGCTATATATAACGCCGCTATATCTCTTCTACTCAAAAATAGCTAGATTATTAACTTAGGAGCTAATATCTATATCTATAACCGTATCGATCGTTTCGTAGGAGGTATAAAGGAAGAACGTTATATAGTTACACTCGGTAGTAGTAAAATCGTTACTTATAGGAAGGGTACTACTAAAGTTATTATTAAAGATCCTACCGGTAAGATTATATAGGTAACCTTACTAGATATATAGTATATCCCTAGTTTTAAAACTAATATCCTATTAATATTAGAGATTAGTAAGAACGGCTTTTTCTTTAATAGCCGCTTCCCGGCTATTACTAAGGATAATAAGCTAGTAGCTATATATAGTAGGAAGTTTAGACTCTACCTCCTAGAGTATTACTAGGGTAATAAATATATCCCGATAGTTAAAAGCCCCCTAGTAGCTTTTCCTATACTTAAAACCTCTTAGAAACTACTAGTATCTATTATATTACCGTAAATTTAGTACCGTAGGCTTAGGTATATATATAACCGACGTATTAAGACCCTTATAAAGATAGTTAACGGTATAGTAATTAAGGGAGACTTTAAGGATAATACTTAATATAATCCTAAACGATATAAAACCTATTAGCTAGCGAAATCGAAGAAGTAGATCTCTCGGAGGTTAGTAGTAAGAGTAAAGACTTATAGTAAGTTTAGAAAGATTTATTTCGACCTATTATAGCTAGAGGAAGCTTATAACGGTTATAAATAGGTCTCTTACCTATTTATTAAGGGTATTCGCCTCTATATAGCCTAGATATACGAGAAAAAGAGTAGATATATTAATACTATTATTAGCTTTATTACTATCTATCGAAATTAACTTAGTATAGATATTAGGGTCTTTAAAAGCGATAATAAATAGACCCTAGGCCTAACCTTCCGCCTATACTATAAAAGAGAGGATATTTTAATCGAATCTAGCTAGATATAGTAAAGGCTACTTTATATCTCGCTTAGTTCCTATCGAACCCTTCCCTTAATTATGTTAACGCTATTAACTAGGTTATCGCTTATCTTTATTATATACGGATAAAGGCAGTCTACTATCGAAAGCTACCTAATTTAGACCTAACGACTATATAGTTCTTTAGTGATATATTATATAGGGATAATAACGACCGGAAGAGCTTGTCTAGATATATTTATTTAATATACAGAGGACTAGTAGATTAGAAGGCTACGAAGTAGAAGACTGTAACGACGAGTACTACTAAGGCTAAATTACTAGTAATATCGGACGCTAGTAAGTCTCTATATATATAGAATCGTCTGTTCGCGGCTATTATGTTCGTTCCTAGTTACCCTATCGTTCTGTAATATAATAACTAGCAGACTATTAACCTATTAACGGGCGAATTACTTTAGCTACGTATAAAGCTCCGATATATTAATATCTACTAGTACTAGCTGCGATAGGAGGTCTAAGCCGAACGTATACCGGTATAGTAGGTTAAAACGTCGGATATAGTAGCTGACGGTCTTACGAAGCTATTACCTCGCTAGAAGCACGTCGAATTCGTCAGATAGCTAGGGATGGAAGATATTGGACGGCTAGTGGAAGGTGAAATTAATGCCTGAGGACGTCAGATGAAATGGTGTAGCAAATTGCCTACAGACATTTTACTGAGGGGGTGTGTCAGCACATAAAGGGATAACTTACCGCTAGCAACTGATTGGTTGCTGATGGGCCTACATTCGTTTAGTATTTCATATATAATTAGGGAGCTGAGCTGCAATGCAGCCATTATCACAGCTGAGTGACAGAGACAGAGACACATCGGATAGCGGTGTGGCTCATGGGGTATTTTAGTCTACGCTGTTTCCCCTGTTTTTCTGTTGATTCAATCAATTCTATTCATCCAAATTGGTTCCGCTTGATCTCATTCGTTATCTCTGCATACTAGGCTATACAGTATCAGCTTGCTGTGACACAATATTACTGTGATGGCCTGGTAGTCCTACCTCTGTATTCAGGATTTCATCATATGCTTGTCGTCCTGAATGGCTAAATGAAACTGAGCAATCTATCCTGCAAGAAGTAATATTGTACTTGGAAGGAGCATATCAATAGTGGAGATAGTTCTATCTAATGGCTGCGTGGTTTTGGTAAGAATTTGTCAAACACAGATGGGGCATGATACCGCTAGACTAAAAATGCACCATGGCCAACATTCTTAGTCTATACGGGCTTCTTGTTGTTCCGACAGAATTACCATAGACGAGAAGGGCTAAAGTTTACAAACACAATACAATCAGGCTCTTCGAAAGAATGCACCTTTCCTTACGCTCCCGTCAACTCAAGCGCATCCTCCATGCTGTAGGGCTGTGCACAAAATGCATTGTCCAGCCAGGCCACCGCTAAACTTGAGTGCTAGCATCACTATTCGGCTTCATGTTTGCTGCGCCATTGGCAGTTGACGGCCCCTTCCCAGGACCCATTCCCGGTTGCCCTGGTCCAGAGCCACCAGGGCCACCAGGGCCCCCTGGCCCCCCTGGGCCTCCTTTCTGGGCCTTAACGCTCTTCCACTCCATAAGAGCAGACGCCACAACACACGCACAGGAGGCCGCCAAAGCGACGCAAAACACGTCTGTCACCGCGTCATTGTATCCGTTCAAAAATCGTGGCAGGTCCTGAGCGCTCACGCGATCTTGAATACTCGTCACTCCGCTGTCGGTCAGGTTGGCGATATTACCCAGGTTGGCAGATAGTTTGTTGCTGTATATGGCCTGGTCCACAGACAAGAACACCGAACCACCCAAGGACTGCGCGAAGAAAATCAAGGAGATACCGATCGGAGCATCTTGGCGAGGGAGGACGGCTTGGGCGGCCAACGAGGCTTGTTGCATACCTGGATTAGATGTTAGAACGGCCTCGAACTAATGCATAGGCATAGAAAACATACTCATTCCGCACCCAACCGCCCAGAGGATCTGGTAGCCGATCCATTTGCCTTCGCTAATGTGTGGGGTGAATGTTGTCAGCAGACCAGCCCCAATAGACATGAGCACTGATCCGCCAATCATGAAGGGCGTGTAGTAGCCGATTCGATTGATCAGGAAACCAGCTATGAGACTGGCGACCGCAGATGAGATGACGGTGGGTAACATCATGACACCTGAGTGGACTGGAGACGCGGACTTGATGGCCTGAAACCAAATCGGCATGTAGTAGGTGAAAGTCATCATGGCAGCAGTGACCATGAGAGTGAACGCAACCCCGGCTGCGATGCTGCGCTGTTTGATGACCCGGGGCGGAATGGTGGCTTTTTCCTGAAGCCAGATCTGAATCCCGACGAATGCCAGCAGTAACACTCCTGCCAGAACTAGAAGAGCGATAATGCGTCCGTTATTCCAGGCATAGGTCGCCCCTCCCCATTGCAAAGCCAGTAGCAGGCACACCACCCCAGGGATCAGACATAGATTGCCCAGTGGATCCATCTGCAGGAACTGCTCGCGTATCGGGGTGCCTGCCTTGCGCGCAGGGGGCATCTGGAGCACCAGCACGAGTACCACTATAGTCACTGCGCCAATGGGCAGGTTGACGTAGAAGCACCAGCGCCAGGTAACATGTTCGGTGAAGCCACCACCAATCAGTGGACCTGTGACAGATGCGATGGCGAAGATGAGGCTGACAATGCCCGAGTAGATGGGTCGCATGTGCAACGGGACGGTGAAGAAGGTGATGATCACACTGCCACCAAAGATCCCCGATGATCCCAGGCCGGCGATTGCGCGCCCAACAATGAGTACTGTCGAATTCGGCGCCGCACCGCAGATCGCAGACCCGATTTCGAAAATGACCACGGCGGTCAAAAACACCCATTTGGGATTGTAGAACGAGTAGATCTTGCCAAACAGCAGCTGAAACGCGCAAAAGGTCACGAGATATGCGCTACCGTACCAACCGACATCGTCGATAGAGTTGAACTCATTCGTGATATAGGGAATGGCGTTTACAATAATGGTCCGATCCTGTCGTGCGACAGTCAGCGATCAAGGGAGTCCGACTGAGGAGATGCTGACCTACCAGTGCGGTGAGAAAGCCAGCAAGATACAGGGAGATGATGATCGAGTAGAGCTTGGGACCTGTGGGATACTCAACCGCAGGACCCATCCCAGGTCCAAAGGGTTTTCCACCCCCGGGGCCACCAGCGCCCCCTGGACCACCTGGAGGACCTGGAGGACCCGAAGGACCTGGAGGACCTGGGTTGGCTTCAGATTTGGCTTCGACAACACTTTGAGACTTTTCTGACGAATGCACTGATGACGGTGGCTGCTTCTCTTGTCGCATGTCGAGGGGCTGCTCTGCCACGGCTGCTGCCGTTGAGTCGGGAGTTTCTTGGGCCATTATTGATCAAACATACACCACAAAAAGAGAAGGAAAACGGGTGTTCAAGAATATTAAGTGATTACGAGAAGAAAGAACAGTGGGAAGCAAAGAAGAAGGACCAAGCGACACAGAAAACCATAGCCAGGGCCTTGGTCCCTTCCATAAGATTTCGCTCTGGGCCGTGGAGGATTAGTTCACAAAGGACAGGAAAAATACATAGTCCGGAAATGCGCTGTTTGTCGGGGGTACAGGACAGGTCGGCCTTTAGCACCGAGTCGGGCATCATCCCACGAAGGCCGGACAGGGATCTCTCCCTGATTTAAAATTCAGATGTGAATCCCCGTGGCTTTCCTGGGCTCTGATTTGTGGTGAGCGGCTCAATCAGGACGAAAAAGCGGTAGCAGTTCTGCTGTCATGGCAGACCCGACGCACCGGGACCGCGGATCAGCAGGGCACAGCCTTTGCGTCCGGTCGATCGTCGCAGTGGTTGATTTGATTGAAGATTGCCGATCCTTCGGCTGTTGCGCTGCCGCCGTCGATCGCACGGATCGGTCTCATTTCGCGGATGGCCACTAGTTCGCCCGGTATCCTTCCTCTTGGAGCGAGGCATGGTGGGTGCGGAGGCAGTTCATTGGTCACGATGCGTTCCCACGCCAGCTCCCTTTGTCTGGATGGGGTTAGATCGCTGGTGATTCAGCCAAGGGAGAGAAGAGGGGCACGACCAAGACAAGACCCGACAAGCATTACGGGTCTCCCGCTAAGGAAACGATCTCCCCACCAATTGCAGTCCATATTCGGAGTCCGAAGCAGCCAGACTAGCTGGGGCCAGGTTGCCTTTACTGCTTTGTGGCTGAAGTTTGGCAAGGAACGAATTGCTTAGCTCCCCGGCTGTCGACCCCCTGCAAGGCGCGAAGAAGCTTCGCCATCAGCGGCTAGACTAGCTTCAATGTGGAGAATGGGACTCGGCCTCAGTCTAAATCCTTCAGCCCCGCGCTAAGTGAAGCCACCCTGTAAGTAGATTAGCCTCGTACAAAAGCAAAATGGGGCCAGAAATGGTGCTGATCAGTTAATAATAGACGGAGCACCTGCATAGCGAGAGGAGACTATATTTATCACAGCGGGCAATGTTAGATAGCGGAGATCGCACGAAAAGAGTATCGTAACCGGTAGATATACAGCGTCTGCACCCGCAATGGCAGAGTCTACCGGTTCTACCTCCCAGAAAGACCAGCCGTAGGTCAAGTTACGGTCGGCCTCAGTCTAAATCCTTCAGCCCCGCGCTAAGTGAACCCACCCTATAAGTAAATTAGCCTCATACAAAAGCAAAATGGGGCCAGAAATGGTACTGATCAGTTAATAATGGACGGAGCACCTGCACAGCGAGAGGAGACCACATTTATCACAGCGGGCAATGTCAGATAGCAGAGATCGCACGAAAAGAAGTATCGTAACCGGCAGATGAACAGCGTCTGCACCCGCAATGGCACAGTCTACCGGTTCTACCTCCCAGAAAGACCAGCCGCAGGTCAAGTTACGGTCGGCCTGCGACCGCTGCTCATCCAACAAAGTCAAGTGTAGTCAGGAAAGGCCAGCGTGTCGGCGGTGTTGTTCGCTCAATCTACCCTGCCACTACAGTCGGTCCTTGCGGATGGGGAAGCCGCCTCGATCTCGGCAGCGATCCAGTAGATCTTGCTGCCATCATGACCATGGCGAGAATTCGGCGAGCCTCGAACAGTTGAAACCGGCTGCAGCAGCTACTGCTGCCACAACAGACGCAGCGGCCATCCCAAAGTCCATGCTCGGCGATCCATTGCCCTCGCCAGACAACGAGGTGATGGGAACACTGGTGCATAGCTGGTCAGGCGAGTTTGATTATGGGTCGATTCTGAATGATATCGATTCGTCCCTCCAGCCACTCTCTCCAGACCTTTCCGACATATTGGGAAATTCGACGGCAATATCTCCAGGTCTCGGTCAGCCGCGGGTATCTGACTGCCCGGGCGCCCTGCCGGATATGGTAAAGCAGCAAGACCAGTCGATGTCCAAGATGCTGCAATCGACATTCCACAATGCCGTATACGACAGGCTAACTCCAATCAGCCTCGCTGGGTTCACCTTCCCAGCCACAGAAATGAACTCAGACAATGAACAAGCGATTGACACAGTGGTTTCCACGGGACCGAGTCCGACATCCTCGTCCGATCATCAGTGTGTCCGTCGGGCCATGGAGACACTGGGCTGTCTGTATCGAGTCTGCTCGTCAGCCAACTCATCAGATTCGGGCCTCAGCAATTCAAGCGTCGATGACATCCTCCAGGTCAACGGCGGGGCGATGGAAGCCGCCGCGGCCATCCTGGCATGTCCGTGCACCAAGGACTTCTGCCTCCTCATCATTCTCGCAATAATCCCTTGCAGGGTGCTTGCCGGGTACCAGGCCGTTGTCAACATGCGCGATCCGCACATTCAGGTCCCAGCAGGCGAGACAACTATCTGTCGTCCAATTGCTGTTGGAGCCTATACGCTCGATGTCGAGGCCAGTCGCATGGTGATTATCCAGGTAGTTCTCACCAAGTTGCGGGAGCTGAGCAGGTTCGTCCAGACTTATATCGACATGTTCTGCTTCGATCCTAGTAAGAACCGCCAGGGTCACTGTGGACTGGTATACAGGACCCTGGGGTTATTTATTCAAAGTCGGCTAGGTACCACCACGGACGGGCTGCGGGAGAGACTATCAGCCCTGATGGGAGACGGGAAATCTGAATTCAAATGACAATCATGCAGGCCCGGGTGGTTTGATCCTTGGTTGTTAAAGAGGTGCTGTACGCCGGTGATTGAGTCTGGCGTTGGAATGAACTCCATTTTTGTATTTTCCATCGTCCAAACTGGAATCTGATGATACCTAGGGAGGACATAGTGCGAGAATTATAATGAACATGATCTATCCCCTTATGATGTATGACTGGCCCAACATATGCATCCAGGGTCCCTTGTCTAGTGGAGTAGTTACTACAAAAGTTTTGACCCTCGGTGAATAGCTCATACCATCAAGCGCAATACAATAAGAGTCCGTATCCTGCACAAGGTGAGGTCTGTGCTAGGCCACTAGAGCTTACATACTGTTATCCGCTCCGTTAACTTTGCTTCAGGGTGTCTAGACTGAAGACAGTCTTTACGAACTAGGGTATCCTTTGCCATCTCTGACCATATGCTCAGTCTAAACAGGGAGAGCTCATGCTTTGCCCAATCGGCATATCTTGCAAGTCAGGGCTACTTTTCAGATGTCGTCATATAGAAGATTGTGACGAATCGGCTCAAGACATTATCGGGGACCGTGAATGTGCTCTAGGGACTGTGCGTGGTGAATTGGGACGTTTTCTTCGGTCCCCGATCCTCGACGACAGCCACTGGCAGTTCGTTCCCCGACTCGGTCCTCACGGGCATCAGTCGATTCGTTCCCTGGCTTCCAGGGCTACCGCGGGTTTGTATCTATTCTGAATCCAGTTAGTGCTGAGAGGCACACCTGATACTGTAACAGCCCCCATTCAGCGTCCCACATGCGAAGCGAGATGATATAGTATGGCAACTTGGATGTTGGAAAAGGAAAAGACACGGAATGTCTAGTAGACATAATGCACCAAAGATCAACACCACTATTAAATTCAGCTTATTTTCCTCGGCTACGTCTGCATGCCCGAGGGCTTCTTTCTCTTTCAAATTTGGTTGACCAATTATCCTCCAGGCCCGGCATGGCGCAACATTATCGAATTTACTTGTTTGGAGACCAAACATATGATGTGGATGCTCCCTTGCGGGAGCTCCTACACCATTCAGACCCAGTGTTGACGTCTTTCTTCGAAAGGGCCTTGCAGGTTCTGCGCCTCGAGGTCGGTCAGCTACCCAGTGAGCTCCGTTGTACTTTTCCTCGATTCTCCAGTATAGCCGATTTGATCTCGCGGCGAGGGGACACTGGACTTCACCCTGGTCTTGAAATGGCCTTGGTGCTAATCTATCAATTGGGGTCTTTCATTCGGTTGGTCCACTTCCCTGCACAGTTCATCGGGCTCGTACTTACATCAAGCAGGATTCACTCAGAAGGGGGACTGGAGTACCCTACGGCTTCTAATACTTACCTGTTAGGCCTCTGTGCTGGGGCATTTGCTGCTGCGGCAGTTAGTTGTTCACGATCCTTGGTGGAACTACTTCCAATCGCCGTACAAACGGTAGTGGTCGCTTTCCGAACCGGTCTGTGTGCCGGCAGAATTGGAAACTGTATTGAGCCAACTGCCACTGGCTCCCGGGAATGGTCGATACTGGTTGCGGGAATGGACAGCCAGACGGTCGAAGATACTTTAGAACAATTCTCTGCGACGAAGGTAAGTCCCATGATATAGACTCAGAGCCCGAAGGTATTGACTGACATGATTCGTAGTCCCTCCCTCGCATGTCTCGGCCTTATATCAGCGCATATGCTCCCAACGGTTTGACCGTCAGCGGTCCTCCTTCAATTCTGGGTGAGCTACGACAATCGTCCGCATTCGCGCGTGCAGCCTGCAAATCAATTCCGATACATGCCCCCTATCATGCTCCCTTGCTTTATACGAAGGAGGACATTGACGAAATCGTCGACTCCACGATCAAGAACAATTGGGCGTCTTATATTGCCCAATTGCCTGTGATATCAAGTGGCACCGGACGCTTGATATGGGCCGGCAACTTTCGCGCTCAGTTGCAGTCTGCAATCGAAGATGTGCTTCTTCAACGAATCCATTGGCTCAAGGTTCAGGATGGTATTAAGACTACACTGCCGTCTTCGTCCATGGTCAACTATGAGGTCATTCCCATTGCGACCCATGCAGATCCTCTCTTGTCTCGGGCCTTGCAACAACCGATAATGAACCCAATCCTGGCCCTGTCAGAGAAACAGGAGGATCCGCCGACTCCGAATAACAGAGCCAAGATTGCCATCGTCGGTATGTCTGGTCGATTCCCAGGCGCCAACAACACGGAGGCTCTTTGGGAGCTCCTCTCACAGGGGCTGGATCTGTGCAAGGAGGTTCCTGCCAACCGATGGAACGTCAACACGCATGTCGATCCGACAGGCAAGCGTAAAAATACCAGTAAGATTCGCTGGGGCTGCTGGCTCGATAATCCCGAACTATTCGACGCCCGGTTCTTCAACATGTCCCCTCGGGAAGCCCCGCAAGTTGACCCGGCGCAGCGCATCGCTTTGCTCACCGCGTTTGAAGCCATCGAACAAGCTGGTATTGTTCCTGGTCGTACGCCGTCTACGCAGCAGGATCGTGTTGGTGTCTTCTTTGGCACTACCAGCAATGACTGGTGCGAGACCAACAGTGGGCAAGACATTGATACCTACTACATCCCCGGAGCTAATCGCGCATTTATCCCTGGGCGAATCAACTACGTCTTTAAGTTTAGTGGACCGAGTTATAGCACTGACACTGCGTGCAGCTCCAGCTTGGCGGCTATCCATCTGGCCTGTAACTCTCTGTGGCTGGGAGACATTGACACGGCCATTGCTGGTGGTACTAACTGTCTAACGAATCCTGACATGACCGCCGGATTGGACCGTGGTCACTTCCTATCCCCAAC